ATAATCTTTTTATTTCTTATAAGTATATTTTATAGTTTTTTAGTAAAACTATATTTTATAGCTAGTATATACTAAGTACTTCTTAGGTTTCTAAGTATTATACCTAGCTAGCTGGCTATTTTATTTTACTAAGAACTAAATTTATAAACCTTTATTAAAGTAAGTAATAATATCTTTAACCTGATACTTTTTTTTGGTATTTTATTATTTTTAAGAATAAAAGTTCTTTTCTCTTTTTTACTATAGTAGTTTATAGCTTAAAGCAAAAGATATAAAAGATATTATATTAGTAACTATACTATAATAGTAAAGTAACTTAGTATATAACTAGCCTTAGCTTTTTATAATATAAACATATAGAAAGGTTAAAGTAAGTTTTTTAAGCTTACTAAGTTTAAGTACTTTATTAATAAACTTATAAATTTACTTTTAATAAAAAAACTAATATAAGCGTTGCTTATTATAGCCTTTCTTTTATTAGTAAGTTTTTTATAATACTTTTAGCTTTTACTTAATAGCCTATAGCTAACTAATATACTTTTATACGCCTTTAACTATTACCTTAAAATAAGGAAATTATTTATAAAATAAAAGTAGTATATATATAATATATAAAATAAGAAAGTGCTTATTATAGTATAATAAGCATTAATATATATAAACTTTATAATACTTAATACTTACGTTTACTGATATTATAAGTAACTATAAAATATTTATAAGTATTACTTTAAGGTTTAATTTAAAATCTTTATACTACTATTTATTTAAGAGTATTATGCTATTAATATTATTAGCTAAACCTTTTAAAGGTATATTAGTTCTTACTAAAATTAGCTAGTAAATAAGCTATCTTTATTACTAACAATTACCTTTAAAATACTAAACTTAGTCTTTATATAGTTATAAATAAGTTAAGCAATCTTAGCAGCTATAACCGTCTTTTAAGTAAGAATAAATATACTATACTTTATATAATAGTCAACTATTATTAAAATAGCTTTATATAAGCAGCTATTTAAACTTAAACTAAGCTTAAGACTAGTTATAAAGTTTATACTAATATACTAAAATAGCTAAATAAGTATTAAGAGAGACTAAAGGTATTTATACAGCTTATACTAAAAGACTTTATTACTTATATATAATAAGTAGTTAGTAATAAATGTATAAACATTTATAGCTAGGTTTAGTAGCAGTATTTCTTAATAAAGAGTTTTATTGTTTTATAGACTTTAATATAGCCTATTATAAAAAAGTTATAGTATAAGCTAATTAGCTTAGCTTATAACTTATTTACTAAAAGAACAATAATATAATCTTTATAAAATAAAGTATTACTATTTACTAAATAGTAAGTATTATTTTTTAGCTTTATTTAGCCTTTATATATAAGTTATTTAGTAATTAGTCTTAGCTTTAAGCCTTATATATAGTATTATACAGTTTAAGAGAATACTAAGGTTATAATAGCTATTATTAGCTAGTAGTAGCTTATACCTTTTATACTAACAGTAATAAGGCTTTTAGCTTAAGAAGCTTTAATAACTAGTCTATATACTATTAGCTAAGTTAGTAGCTTTTAAGTAGTGCTTGATTTTAAAGTTAAATACTAAAAAATAAAATACTTAGCTAGTAATTTAGTTTTAAAGATTCTTTACTAATGCTTTAATAACGCCTTTTAATGCTTAATAGTTAGTTAAGACTATAAATAAGTCTTTTAAATTTTAAATAGTAGCGTTAGTACTTTAAGCTTTTAATAATTAATAAGAGCTTTTACTAACTAACTTTTTATTATACTTTAAAGTTATTAGCTCTTGAAAGTAGTATATAGCTAGTTACTACTTACTATTTATTAACTAAGAGATATAATGCTAAAAATAGTATAACCTAATATATTTATTTTTACTTAAGCAAGCTTTATATTATCATAGTAATAAAAGAGTATTATTATTATAAATACTATCTTTAATAATTTAAAAGCAACCTTTACCTTTTTAGTTTATATAAACAGTTACGTAGTAACTACTTTATACTTATATAGTAAGCTAAGGCTAGTTTTTATTAATTATATTTAGGCTTATATAATATAAAAGTAGTAAAAGATAAAACGTTTATAAAAGTTTATAAATCTTAAAAAGAACTAAACGTCTTATATATACTTAAGAGCTTTTTAGTTTATAATAACTTTAACTTGCTTTAAGTTTATAGCTAGCCTTTTAGTAATAATAATAAGAAATATAATTTTCTTTTTAAAGACTTTATACTTTAATAAGTATATATATAGCTTTATAGCTTTTAGCTGCTTAAATATTTAATTTTACTTTTTCTTAGTCTAATAGTAAATTGAAATATTATTTAAATATACCTTATAAATAATACTTACTAGTCTTACTAGTATATAACAAATATATACTTAAAAAGTAGCTAGCGCGTTAGTTAGTCTAAAGAGTATAATATAAAACTTAAAAAGTTTATATTTATTTAAAAAGTAGTCTTTTACTAGTTAAAGGCTTTTACTTAAATTTTATAGTATACTTTTTTATATTTAATTTAAAGAATAACTTTACGCTATTTAAGTAATTTAATAGTTTATTAATTAGCAGTAAAGAGTAGTAGTCTTTTTTAGTTACCTAGTTTAAACCTTCATAGTTAACGTATATATATAAAGTACTGCTTTTTTTTAAGATAAAGATTATAAAGGCTTTAGCTAGGCTATTATTATAAGTAATCTAACTATTTACTAATAACTTATTAATAAAGCAGTAAAGCTTTTTTTATTAAGTAAAGAATAGTAAGTATAATAAGCTATATAGTACCTTTATACTATCTTTTAATTTAATTAAGTAATTTATATTTACTAACAAGCGTAGTTTTTTTACTTTATTAGTATTAAAAACTTTAGTAAACAATTATATATAATATAATAGTTACTAGCTAAGGTTTAGTAAGGTAAGGTTATTATTTATAGTAAAGATGTTTAGTATATATAAGCTTAAGTTTAACTATATTAAGTAAATAGTAAATAACTTTTTACTATTATATAAGTATTAGCTTATTTGCTTAAAAATTTAAAGATTATAATAGTAAATAACTAGGCTTATTAAATAGTATTAATAATAACGCTTAAAAACCTTAGTCTTTTATAATTTAAGATAATATTTTTATAGTTAAGGCTTATTTTATAAATAGTTATAAAGACTTATATTAATATATAAAAGACTTTACTTTAGTTAATATAATAGTTAGCTTATATAAGCTATAAGCTTATAATACTTTCTTATTAATAAAGACTAAGTTTAAGTTTAAGTACTACTAAAGTAGCTTTAATCTTAACTGTTAAATAACTTTTTTAAGTTAACTATATTTAAGTTAGTATAAAAGTTTAAGTTAGTAATAATAAAGACTTAACAAGTACTAAGCGTTTAAGCCTTAGTACTGAATAGCACTTATACTAGTCTTATATTTAATTTAATAAATAAAGTAAAAGTGCTTTTTAATTTTATATATAAGGTATAGCTACTATATATTAGTATAAAAAGTAGTATTAATAAATCTTTTACTACTAAAAGTTTATATACTTTTTATAAAGTAGCTACCTTATAATTAAACATTACTTCTTATAAAATAAAACTTAAAGAATATAGAGGTTTATATATAATATATAGTTATAAAGGCTTAAAGCGTATTTATACTATAATATTAAAACTTTAACTTAATAAACTATAAAAGACTAGTAAGCAAGAGCCTACTATCTAATTTATACGTAAATAAGAGGTACGCAATAGCGCAACCCTAAGTAGGTGTAGCATAGCAAAGTGGCTGTGCTTTGCCTTGTTTACGTGTTAAGATACTTTTGTAAGTTTAACGCTTAGTAAGCGGTAGGTTGCTGAACTGGTGCGTAAGGTAAGTGCGTAAAATACCTTTAAATGAAGGCAAATCTAGTAGCTTATTAAATAACGTTAGTAGTTAGTTTATATAGTTATTGAAAGCAAATATATATTACGTGTTAAAAAATATACTATAGCTATTATAATTATAGTTAGAAAAACGCTGCTAGTAGTAAAGAAATGTTTAAAGGCTCTTGTTTTTAGTTACTAAGCTAAAAGAGTATATATCTTTTTAAAAGGTAAAGAAGCTTTAATATAGTATTTGGGCTAAAAAAGCAAGTAAGTTATAAAATGTTTATATGTAAGCTATAAGTCTTTAATAGCTATAGTAATGCAAAGCAGCTACTAGGCGTAAACTAAGCTATTTATAGAAATAAAAGGAAAAGGTAAAAAAAAAGTATAAGCAAAGTAAAAAATGTAAGGGTAGAAAAGTAATGGCGTATATTAGCAAGCAAGTAAAGAAAGGTATGCTAGTAAAAAGAAAGCAAAAAAAAAGAAAAAAAGAGTAAAAGTTAAGAAGAAAAAGGCCGACCAAAGTCGGAAAAAGAAAGGCAAAGAACGGTTTTTAACAGCAGACTGCTAGCAGTCGAAAATAAGTAAGGGCAAAGAGCAAAAGGCCTGCTTAAAAAAGAGAAGGAGAGGTAAACAGAAACGGGCGCGGTAGAGGTGTTAATGGTAACGAGGAGTTGCTACCAGAATGTAATGGTATGGTGCTGAAGCTGAATGAATATAATCTATCTAGCGACACAGGCAGACTCTGCTGTGGCTATAACTAGGTAGTGGTGTGGGGCACATGACCACGTGACACTGTATGTGATCGCAAATATATGGGGATGATTTGGGGGCGTTATAACCAAATGAGTTCCCCGTACGAAAGACTTACCTAATGTGCGGATACCTTGATACTTTCTGCCTTGAACTAGTCCGATTAGCGAACATCTTTTTTTATCTCCTTCCCTGCTTTATCCGACGACTCCGTTCACCTCGGCCTTTCGCCTCTGCCATCAACCACCCCAGAACAGTCAATTTGGCTTCAATTGCAAATCTGCTTATCCTTTCTCTCCCCAACACATCTCTTTGTCCGTCTCAGCCCATCACAGCTTATTCAAGATGCTGTCAAGAAGAGTCCTTTTGGCCGCGCGCACCGCCCGGCTGTGCCGGTCGCAGCAACCGCTTCGTCTTGCCCAGCTGCCGCTCATGCTCCAGAATGCTCGCGGCTATGCAGACCTGATGGTTAAGGTTCCCCAGATGGCCGAGTCCATCACCGAGGGAACGCTCTCCCAGATCGCCAAAAAGGTTGGCGAGCAGGTCGAGCAAGACGAGGAGATAGCAACGATCGAGACAGACAAGGTGCGTTCGTACTACCTCGGCTGACCAGACTGGATGGATGGATGGCAGCTGCAAGGATTTGTCGTTTTAACAAGACTGTGTCTGTCTAGATTGATGTTTCTGTGACTGCGCCAGAAGCTGGTGTCATCAAGGAGATCCTTGCCAGCGAGGAGGACACCGTTACAGTTGGCCAGAACCTGATTGTGATTGAAACCGGTGGCGTCGCCCCCGAAAAGGCAGCAGCTGCTGAGGCCCAGGAGGCATCGTCTACACTCGCGCCTGCCGCCGAGTCAAAACCGGAAGCCCCGAAGGAGGACAGCAAGCCTGCGCCGCCAAAACAGGCTGCGCCCGAGAAGAGCGCACCGGCCCCGACCCCGGCACCGAAAAAGGCTATTGCCGAGTCTGCCGCAGCTCCGGCTGTGCTTGGAAGCCGCGAGGAGCGTCGCGTAAGCGTTTTCGGGCGATGTTTAGGATTGGAGCGACTATTGTGACTGCTTGCTAATTGGAGGGTGTGCGTGTAGGTTAAGATGAACCGTATGCGTCTCCGGATTGCCGAGAGGCTCAAGCAGTCTCAAAACACGGCTGCTTCCTTGACGACGTTCAACGAAGTCGACATGTCGTCTCTAATGGAGTTCCGCAAGCTGTACAAGGACGACGTGCTCAAGAGCACGGGCGTTAAACTCGGCTTCATGAGCGCATTTACCCGCGCCAGTGTGCTGGCAATGCGCGACATCCCGGCTGTCAACGCCTCTATCGAGGGTCCGAACGGTGGCGACACCATCGTGTACCGCGACTACGTTGATCTGAGCGTGGCTGTGGCCACCGAGAAGGGCCTGGTAACCCCAATTGTTCGCAATGCCGAGTCGATGGATCTGATCGCGATTGAACGGTCCATTGCCGAGCTGGGCAAGAAGGCAAGCACATCTGGAGCGCGGCACCATAGATAGAACTTTGTGTTTCTGACTCGCTAACATTTGGTGATACCAGGCTCGCGACGGCAAGCTGACGATTGAGGATATGGCCGGCGGCACCTTCACTATCAGCAACGGCGGTGTGTTCGGCTCGCTCATGGGAACCCCAATCATCAACCTCCCACAGACGGCTGTCCTTGGTCTGCACTCTATCAAGGAGCGCGCAACCGTTGTGAACGGCAAGGTTGAGGCCCGCCCTATGATGTACCTTGCTTTGACGTACGACCACCGGTTGCTTGATGGACGGGAAGCCGTCCAATTTCTGGTCAAGGTGAAGGAGTACATTGAGGACCCTCGGCGCATGCTCCTTTAAATAGACTGTTAAGATACGGCCTTTGGCGAGGTGTACTGGTAGTGGTCTGGCTTTGCATGCGGGGTTTTTCGTCCCTCTGCTTTGTGCGGCGTGTGCCTTAAATTGTAATATCTATCCTATCTAAGGCTGCGCATTTTAGCATGCCTACGGTGGAAGAGAGCGGTTGGAACATAGATGGACTTAAAAGTTAAACTAGTTTTGGGGGAAACAAAAATACACGTAAATGTGAATAGTAAAAAGTTTGATAAGGGACGGCTTATATTCCCCCTACGATTTGCTTAACCCCCCCTAATGCTAACCCGAAAAATTCGTGTACAAGAGCGACAAGATAGTACAAAAGACACATTGAAATACAAAGAAACCTCCGCTATTAGCGGGTACTTTCCGGACAGTATTGTCCAGCCACCCACCCTATTTACTCGATACTCTGAAGAGTACGGAGTATTGTGCTGAAAATGATTATAAGATTTTAACCAACAACAACAAAAACAAAACCAATACTAACAGCATTAAAATGGCATTACTTTATAGCCCTGCCCTACCTACTTCAACCTATTAGATGTTTAAAGAGGCCAATAAAGCTATTTACAATTATGCGGCATTAAATGGCTACCGTCTACTTATCTATTAAGACCGCACAAAGGCGACTTAGGACTACTAGAAGTCTTGCAGCTAGATGCGGCGCAGCAATAGTAGAGTCTAGGCAATACTCGCTAATAGCTAATAATCCTGCTAGTAATTAGCAGCAGACTAGAAATAAGCCCCTCCTTAGATCACTTACATAATCTAACACATTTATTTTATTTTATTTACAAATGCTAGTTATTACGCACGCAAATTTTAAAAGTCTATCAAAGCATTTAAAGAGTCTAAGAGGCTAGTTTAAAGAGGAAAAACAGTTAATCTATAAAGGGATTAATTAAGGTCTATAGATATATTATCTAGAACAACCTAAGTTGCAATTATTCTTAGATGTAAGACTGCTTTTCAAGCCTAGGTAAAAAGACAGTCAAAGGATCTTTCTATAGTATATTAAAGTTATTAAATAGCCTAAACAATACTAAGAATATCTACCGTTATAGCTAATAAAGAAGTTACAATTATAGAACAAGCAAGAATATTTTTAATAAACAACACTAAAGTTATATAAAGGTATTCTACGCACTTGCCCTACGCACCGGGTCGGTTTAGCAACCCACCGCTTACAAAGCGTTAAACTTAACAAACTATCTTAATATATAAAAAAAGCAGAGCATAGCCACTTTGCTATGCTATACCTACTTAAGGTTGCGCTATTACGCACCTTCTATTTACGTATAAATCAAACAGCAAGCTCTTACCTACTAGTCTTTTATAGTTTGTTAAGTTAAAGTCTTAATATAATAGTATAAATACGTTTAAGCCTTTATAACTATATGTTGTATATAAACCTTTATATTCTTTAACTTTTATTTTATAAGAAGTAATGTTTAATTATAAAGCAGCTACTTTATAAAAGGTATATAAGCTTTTAATAATAAAAGATATACTAATATTACCTTTTACGCTAATATATAATAGCTATACTTTATATATAAAAAAAAAGGCACCTTTACTTTACTTATTAAATTAAATATAAGACTAGTATTAGTGTTATTAAATAATACTTTACTAACTAAAAAGCCTTTATAAAGTAATAAATATACTATAAGAGTATTTTACGCACGTGCCCTACGCACCGGTTTAGCGACCTACCGCTTACTAAGCATTAGACTTAATAAACTATCTTAACATATAAACAAGGCAAAGCATAGCTACTTAGCTATGCTTTACCTACTTAAGGTTACGCTATCGCGCACCCTTTATTTACGTATAAATTAGATAGTAGGCTCTTGCCTACTAGTCTCTTATAGTTTATTAAGTTAAAGTCTTAATATAATAGTATAAGTATGTTTAAGCCTTTATAACTATATATTATACATAAACTCCTATATTCTTTAACTTTTATTTTATAAGGAGTAATGTTTAATTATAAGGCAGCTACTTTATAAGAAGTATATAAGCTCTTAGTAGTAAAAGACGTACTAATACTACCTTTTATACTAATGTGCGGCAGCTATACTTTATATATAAGATTAGAAGGCACCTTTACATTATTTATTAAATTAGATATAAGACTAGTATAAGTGCTATTAAATAATACTTTACTAACTAAAAACTTACTATAAAGTAATAAATATACTTATATTATATAAACGCTAAAAGTACTAACTTATATTATAGCTATAAGGGCTATAAAACTACTACTTAGTAATTATTACTAAGATAATAAGCTATTATAATATAGTATTAAAAAGCTTACTATTAGTACTACTACTATTAAGACTAAAGAGTAGTTAATAATAATAAAAGATGCTTATAATACTAATGTATATATTAACGTATTAAAAGATATAAAAATAATTTAAGTAAGTAGCTAACTAGCTATTAAACTAGTAGCTAACTAGTAAACGTATTATAACTATCTTTATACTAGTATGTTTTTAGTTATATGCCTTATATAAAACTACTTTATTATATTTATTTATTAAGAATATTTAAACTTTAAATTCTAAATACTATATTTATGAGAAAAGTTAAATACTATAGTAAGGTAGTAAGTTACTACTATTATATTAGTAAAAGTAAGATTACTTAGAATAAGAGATTAATAATCTTTTAAATAAGGCTAGTAAAATTACTTAAAGATACTAGTAAAAGCTTAATAACTATTTAATAAAGAAGTACTAAAGTAAGACTATTAATGAGATTTTTAGTATAATAAGTATAATAATAAAGATTATAAATGCTTATAAAGAGTATTAGTTTTAAGGCTAAAAAGAAAAAAGAAAGTAAAACATTTAAAAATAAACTATTATAGTTAATAGTATACTAGCTAGTAAGCTAGTAAAGAAATAACGTTATAATAATAATAAAACTAAAACTTACTTTTTTATAAAAAGTAGCTAACCTTAGTAACTAGCTGCTAGCTAGGAGCTATTTACGTTTTAACTAGCTAACTTTAATAGTATAAATAATATTAGTACTATATTAAAGTATTAAAATTATAAAAAGAGTAAGTATATCTTTAAAAGTACTCTAAGCTTAAAACTTATATATAAGTTAAAAAGCTTTAAGTAAAACTAAAAGATAGTCTTTAAAAGCTTAATAATAAAAAGGCAACCTACTTTAACTAAAAAAACTAGTAAAATTAATAAAAAAGCCTTATTCTTTATTAACATTACTATTATGGCTAACTAAGAATACAATTCTTTACTACTACGCTTTAGCTAAGGTATAGATGCTTAGTAATCATTAAGTTGCTATTATTATTAACTTCAACTCTTATATTAACTTGAATATAATAAACTTAATGGTTGTTTAATAGTTAAGTTTAAAGCTACTTTAGTAGTACTTTAACTTAAACTTAGTCTTTATTAATAAGAAAGCGTTATAAGCTTATAGCTAAGGCCTTTATAGTTTATAAAACGTATTTAAACAAATCTTTTACCTTTAATATAAAATAATGCGTATTAGCGCAGCTAGCTTTAATAGCTATATTATATTATTTTATAAATAGTATAATAAAATAAAAATTAGCTTAAGTAATAAGCTAGTAACAACTTAGCAATAAAGCTAAAAAAACTTACTATTACTTTTAAAGTAGTAGCAACTTAAGTTTACGCTTGAAAGAGTATGCTAGCGTTTAAAAATATAAGTAGTAAAAGCTAAAAGATCTTTACTAACTACTAGGCAGCTATTAAAGCTAGCTTTAGCTTTTACTAAAACTAGTAAAGAATACTAAGCTATAGCGTAGCTTATTATACTATCTTAAAGCGTTTATAATAAGATTGCTAGTTAGTTACTAGTAAATTTAGTTTATCTTTTTATAAAGTATAGCTAAGCTTTTTAGTTACTACTATTAGTACTAGTAACTACTATTGCTATATAATTTACTAGCGTTGCTATAATACTATTAACTATTTTACTTTAAAGAGATAGCTTATTTATATTTATATAAAATATTAAATATACTTAGCTAAGCTATTAAGCTTTTTAAAAAGCTATTAGTTAGTAGTTGCCTACTAGTATATAAGAGTTAATATACTTATAAAAAGGTATAATATATTATTAGTTTTCTAACTAAAGTAATACCTTAAGTTTTTTAAGATTACTATATATAAAAACTTATAGTAAATGTTTAAGTATGCTTTTAGTAGTAAACTACCTTTATTAATTAGTTAATATTAGTTTTATAACTAGTAAGCAATAAATAGCTATTATTACTTTTATTCTACCTTACTATTAGTTAAAGACCTTAACTTTATATAGCTGTTTTCAGTTAGCGTATAGTACCTTATTTAAAAAATAAGCAAAAGAATATCTTAGTAGTAAACTGCTTTTATTAACTAGTTAATAATAGTCTTAAAATTAGTAATTAATAAATAGTTATTACTACCTTTACCTACCTTACTATAAGTTAAACATCTTAGCCTTATTTTGCTGTTTTTAGTTAGGCGCGCACTATATTAATTAACTATTAAATAAGAGAATGTTTTAGTAGGTAATAATTAGCCATTGCTATCTTTATCCTACCTTTACTAAGAGTTAAAAACCTTAACTATATACTATTACTTTTAGTTAGCGCACTTTATACTTTTATATAGCTATTATTTAAAGGTGCTTCTTTTTATAATACCTTTATTAGTAGTAACTTAAGTATTTTATAACTAGAATCTAATTATTATACCTCTTAAGAAGCGCCTTTATAAACCTTTATGCTTAATTAAAGCTAATAATTACTTTTGCTATGTTTTAAGCAGTATGTATGCGCTTTTATAATATAAGAGTATAGTTGTATAGCAAGCGGTCTACAACTATTCAGCAATAGCTAATAACCTAGCGTACTTAACTCTTTTTCTTAACTTTACTAAAGAAGGTTTTTTAATAAGTAAGTAGCTGCTATATATACACCTTTTACG